GTGTGTGTGTGTGTGTGTGTGTGTACCATTTAAGTGTAACATACATACATATATACATAAATATTCATAAAATTCTGTGAAATAATAGCCACTCAAAGTCACTGTGACACAGTGAGACAGGCAGCATATAAATTTAATAAAAAAAGTAAGTGAGTGAGTGAGTAAGTAAATAAATAAATAAAAATAGTTCTATAATCTTTGATATTCTCTGAGTTTGGCTGTTTGCTTGCAGACCTTTTATTACCCAACTATTTAACATTATCAGTGCACAATCAAGTGCAACAACCAGTGTATAATAACCAAGCTCAGAGAGTACTAAGGACTCTTCAATTCAACACTGAGTAAATATTCTCTTTTATAGCTCTTTTAGAAATGTTGGAAAGTGATGATCATGATTAAACATTTTCCTTGCACTAATGGCAACACTTTCATAACTCCTATTTTCCCAATTATTCGTACAAGGTCAGGTAATATTTGCATGGAATTACATAGATCAATGCTAGAAAATGGTTAGAATTATAATCAGCAGGTAACATGCTCTCTTTTGAATTTTATTATTAAGAAGGCAAAATGCTAAACAGTGGGGTTATATATTGTGTTTATATAAAAGGATGTCCCTAGAAAATACTATTTTGTCTTTTGTACAACTGGAGCAAAAACATGGATTTAGAACTTTTTAAAAACTTCTTAAAAACTACTGAATGTGTCAATAAAGGATCCATAAGGCATGCACATCTATCCTGGAAAGCTAACTACATATCTAACATGCTCTACAATCAGCAGAAGGAATAAATATTTACAAGATTCCAGAAGAGGATTAATAAAACAAGTGCAATTTTAACTTTTCTATCCAGCAGAGGTCAGTAGTGCCTATTCTATATTAGAATAGAAAAATGTGAACAAAATATATTCTATAGGGGATATGCTTATAATTCAATTTGAAATTATCAGAAGATTTGCACAAAATCAAAAGAGTCAGAGCCAGAAAACACTTGCAGTTCTATTCCATGAGAAAAAAAAAATTGTTCAGCTTACCTTGGGCTGCAAGTGGAGACATATGCTGATGACTTCGGCGATGGATTTGATGACGATAGGCATAGACTGCGAGAACCAACACCATTATGCATCCCATAATACCTCCTGCTACAGGACCAACTGGAGCGCTTTTTATCATATTCAAAGTTATCACTTCATCTCCTTTCATTTCAGAGGGAGAGAAAAAATGAAAATAATGTGAAAATCTCCTGAAGAAGTTCAAATCCTATAAAATAATCTAGATAATTGCCAGATTATGGATGCTGCCTGAAGTCTAATTTGGGTGACAAAGACACTCCAGAAAGGAAATCATGCCAGTTTTCAAAACAATCCATGTGACCATTTCATTGGTCTATGTAAGAACGTGACCCGTCAAAACCGCGGTCCACAAAAGCGCGCTCGACGAAAGCGCGCATTTGACGTCATCACAGCACGACGG